AAAGTTGTACATGTTTTGCCACCTGGAGATGCGAGAACAGCATAGTCGACGAATTGAAACAGAAGAAGGGAAGTTTTTTACTTTAAAGAAATTTCACGGACGTAATATTTATGGCCGTACTATTTGTCTTTTGTCTCAACGATATCAATGCGCATTAGCAACACCCCTGTAAATGAAATGCTTAATGGAAATGAAACCATTGAAGAAGACATTTAATAGATATCAAAGCTCGTTCATGGGTAAGTGTCGGACTATCTTAATTATCTAAACAAGATATCATCCATTATGGTGCAAAACTTCGTTACCTCTCAGTTGGCATTATCTTACCTCGTCATTCTGTCTCTACCACAGGGAACCCACACAAACGGCGTGTCTGGTCGGTTGTTCGAAATATAAAGAAATGTAGGGGAGAATATTGAAGAGTCGTAACATCGTAAACTTATATCAAGCTTGAATGTCTATGTTAAGGCTCAAAATAAATGCAAACCTACCTCACTTGCTGTGTATTGTCATTTCTGTGGTTCTAAATGGCGATTTTGAGCGATTTGGTAGATTTTGAGCTGAGTGTTACTTTACTGTATAAGAAGGAGACAAGGGTGGAAACCTCATTTTCGACTGCTCCAGCGTGAAGCCAAATTTCACCCAGATATTAGAATCGCCCGGCTTCCAAATCGAGCACCAGATAAACTAAAAGGTTGACGCTTCTTCTTGTGTCATTGAATCGAAGATCCATTCAAAATCCAAGCGCTAACCGCCAAAAAACTTTCGAGAAATGCAGCTTTCCAAGCGATCGGCATCCGCGGCACAGATTTGGTGTGCCAGGAAGCAAACGTCGATTCAATGACACAAGAAGAAGGGTCAACCTTTTAATTTATCTAGTGTTCGATTTGGAAGCCGGGTGATTCTAATTTCTGGGTGAAAATCGGCCTCGCGCTGGAGCGGTCGAAAATGAGCTTTCCACCCTTGTTTCCTTCTTATACAGTAAAGTAACACTCAACGCAAAGTCTACCAAATCGCTCAAATTCGCCATTTAGAACTACAGAAACGACAATACACAACAAGTGAGGTAGATTTACATTTATTTTAAGCTTTAACATAAACATTCCTTGATATAAGTTTACGATATTATGACTCTTCAATATCCTCCCATACATTTCTTTATATTTCGAACAAACGACCAGACACGCAGCTTGTGTGGGCCCCCTGTGCCTCTACACGATATGTGTATTTTCTTTGTACAGTCAACAGAAATGAACGTCTATATTTAACCAATTCATGAGAGAAACAAATTTCACGGAAATGTGTCTCCCATTAGCACAATCTGACTCTTTTCATCTAGGAGCTATTTCCCTAAATTAGGTGACAAAACTTACGGCGATGCATATTTAGAATAGAGTATTTAGACTCAAATTTACCATTTAATTTCAAATTTTCTTTCACCAGATGCCAGCTGCCTTCAAAGGTAGACATCAAATTCGGCCCGATCATTCGCCACTTTCCAAAGAAGGGTTGTCTCATGATTCTACAGATAACACGTATGTTTTTTCTTCTTGAATATTGCAACAGAATGAAGGTTAAAAATAAGGTCCGAATGTTAATGAAACACCAAAATTTCAGCTGTTTCATAAACGTGATATGTTCAACAAGCACAGTAAAAGATCCCTATTTTTTTTTTACTACGGTTAAAGTCACTTTTTCTTTTTCTTTAAGCGAAAGAGAAAAAATCTCTTTTTTTTGTCTGATGCAAACCTATTTAATTTTTAGAATAGAGAACAGCATTTCTACGAGATCAGTTTACGTGCAGGTTTTTCATTGTCTCACCTAAGTTTAAATATGCACACGACAACAAGAACATACCACTTGTGGTGACAAACACAATTTCTCGTGGTCATGTTAAATCCTCTTTAACTACTCGGATATTGATTTTCTACCTTTAAAGCCTTGGTAGTTTTTGAACCAACTCCATTCAAGTATGCCCTCTATTCAATAGATCTTTTGTCCCCAGAAATCTCGCGTTTCTTGAGCTGTTTTGGTAATTTCATCAAGACTGTCGTTCAGAAAAAAAAACTTCTACTTCTAGGAGTCTGACACTGTTATCTCAATGTCTTGTCACCATATGGCTCACTGGGTGTCGATGGGGAATGTCCCTGGAGATTGAAGGGTAAGTAAATCTTTTCACGATTGACCGTTGAATTTTACGGCTTTTCTCGATAAATGGTTATTACCAGAAAATGTTTCTTTAATTATTGTCTTTGAGTCATTTTGTCTTTTGCTGATGCAATGAAATAAAGTTTGCTGTTAATATACTATTAAATTCTAACTCGAAATCTACTTTGCTTCCCCATATTAAAGATCGTGAAGTCCTGCAACAGGCATGCTTGTTGGCAATTATTCCTTTCCGAGCAGTTTACTCATAGATTTGAGCACAAATCACTGGAGATCCAATTTGTCCACCAAATTAAGGGAATTAATTGAATATTCCTCAAAACCTCTACTGCCTTAGGACCTCCTAAATGAAAAATTGCATTTTATATAGCTCTATTTGTTTCTCTTCTCTGTTAATTTACATTCAAAGCAGACAAAGTCTGTTCAAAAATTGAACATTATCTCAGCTTGAGTAGACCAAATGGCGAGGCATTGTGAGGTCCACCAGAAACAAAACTTTGAACGTGTGTATTTCCTACCGTTCGAAATACCTGTAAATTTCTATCAGTTTCATTCACTACCTCATTTTTCCCTTAAATCGCACGAGAAATCGGATAAAAAATTTTTAATCAGACAGGCACACAATGCGATCGTGGTCGATTTTGAATTTCCGAGCAGTTTACTCATAGGTTTGAGCACAAATGACCGGAAATCCAATTTTGTCAACCAAATTAAGGGAATTAATTGAATATTCTTCTAAACCTCTAATGCCTTAGCGTCCTCTTTGATGAAAGCTTGCATGCCATATCGTTCGATTGATTTACCTTCCCTGTTAATTTACGTTAAAAGCAGACGACATTTTTAAAAGAGTTGGACTCGTCTCCGCTTGATTAGACCGAAAGGCGCGGCATAGTGTGATCAGAAACAAGGGATCAACGTGTGCAGTTCTACTGAAAATAATATCAAATTTATACCAGACTTAACCACTCTCACATTTGGCCCTTATGACTGGAATAAGGCAAGAAATTTTAAATCAGAAAAGCGCACAGCGCGATCGGGGTCGATTTGAAATTACGGGTGAAGCACAAGAAACTCATTCATGGAATATCGAGTGAAATCTCTAAATTTTTTAAACATATGATTGGCGCANAGATAATATTGATAATTAAGATAGATGGCCAAACAAGAACATTCTAATTTTTAAAAAAGTTAAAGAAAAAGTACGCTCTAAAAACCATACAATAATCTCCACATGGAGTACCACAAAAAAATTACTTTATTTCCGTCAATTTACCAAAAAATGGCGAGAAATTTTCATTTCTAATTAATTAATTCATTTCTGATGTAATTTTTAATTTCACAAAACTGCATGTCAAGAGTTTAAGTATTCTTGACACGCATATTTGTCTCTTCGACTACTGTGAAGTGCGTAGAGCTTGCTAATCAATTTCGAGCAAGCCAATCACCGCCCTTATGAAGCACTATTTTAAATATCTAAAGTACATACTATTAAAAGAGTATTTATGAAAATTTGCTCTGGGGTGCAAATTAAGATTTTGGTTAGGAAAACTTTCTCCTAATTTGTCAAAGATTTACGATTTAGATAACAAATGAAGAAAGGAGGAGCAAAGTTTATCTTTTTTACCGACAAACCGCAAAATTTTATTAAATTTAAACACAATTTTCGAGAGATTCGGTTACTCTTTGAAATCTTGCTGTCATATATAATTCAAGATGTACTTTTTAAACGCGGATATGACATTTATGGATTTCGGAGTACCATTCTGCCTCGGAAGAAATTGATTTCCTGTTTGTCTTTCCCAATATTCGCTATCTGTGGTTTAAAACAGTGACAACAGCCAAATCATGATCAAACTTAAAAATGGATAAAATCTCCGAACAGGCAGAAAGCAAATTTGGAAGTAAGCATATCTAGTTGTATAAAAAGTAACGAAAAATTGATTTTGTTACCTTGCCTGAAGAACTGATCTAGACTTTTCTTCCCTCGGGAAGTTCGTTTAATTGTCGGTTATTACTCTTGAGGTCGAAGATGAGTTTTTTTCTGAAATTCAAAATGTCCGTAGCAAAACCAAGAAAGAAGTGTCGCATGCGAAATGAAAATTCGCCCTGAGTTTCGTTTTTATGAGATTTCGTGACACGTACCATGTTATGAGTAATACCAATTCCTTTGAATCAATTTTAGATGCAAATAAATTTCTTAATATGAAAAGAAAATGTAGCTATTGGAAGAAGTTGCATATAAAGTTTTTCGTAGCGCACAGCTCTAAATTATTTTCTTCATTCTTTGACATCGTTTTCCACCAAAGCATGAAGGGAGCTCTTGATCGAAATTAAACCCGGCAACTCACTCCTGATTGCTACAAAATCATGTCAATTTTTGTGCTAACAAAGAAAATTTATAGGATCAACTTACCTTGCAACTTACAATGTAAGAAAGTACTTAAATGCACGGGGATTCATAAAAATAAATACCTTCCACTTCCTCAATTTTAAGGACTGAAATGTCAATATTCGATCTAGTTGTGAGACACGGTGAGATGAACTATCAAGCAGACGACCAATCGTAAAGAAGATACTTAATTTACTAACCGTCTCAAAAGTCAACAGAAAATTACTCAGCCATTTTAGAGGATAGATAAGGAAAAGCAACGAGTGTTATCTCTAGACTCATAAAACATAGAAAATCGAAGGTCTGTCAATCCTCAAGGCAAGTTATCTGATTCAGCCAAGCACTTTGCTGTTGTTTATGGTAAGGTAGGTTTTTTCAAGGTTTCATTTTTTCATCGCGCCATTTCTGTTTGAAAAATTGGTTCACTTCGACGAGAAAAGTTTAAATTGCACGGAAAACACATGATGGAATGGTCTTAAAAAAAAAGACAGTTAAGAAAATTTATTAATTTCCTTCAATCATTGGGGAAAATTTTTCACTTAAAGTGCATTTCCCTATTTTGTTCTTAAATAACAGTTCGCCAGAACTGATGACTCTCTTGTTAATTAAAAAAAAAATATAGGCATATATATGTGTGATTTTGCTATTCAGAGTAATATACATAATTGCTGTTATTAAAACTTTTAGGGAAAATTTAAAATAATGCTTTTTTTTTTTATCTGACTGAATAGAGGAACATAAAGTGGGGCAGCTCTTTTTTCCCGGGGTCGTCTTTGTATGAACAGTCAGCTTAAATTGACGAAGGCTGTAAATATTGCTGACAAAACTAATTATAAAATTGTCATAAGACGACGTTAAGTCAATACCATTTCCCCTTAATCATACCAGGTGTTAAATTTCTTCTGGAACTGCGCCTTTTAATTTCCCTGGTCATTAATAACAGTTTATTATGATCGATATCGTATTCGTCAATATGATTTTAAAGTATATATGACTTTACTATTCAGATCGGCATAACTACTGATACCATTTTTTTTATTAAAAAGACACCAGGCTTTAAGTTTGAAGTTATCATACTTGTATTCAATCTGTTGTATGAAACAATGAAGATACAAACCCCCAAAGACTGAAGCTGAGTTTTTCCTACTTCATAAATTTTAGTGCCAATAAGAAACATTAGCTATTTTAAGAGCATTAAAATACTCCCAGATAAAGATATTTCGTCTCGTTTCCCACGACTGAGAAAGTTCCTCTTGACTATGTAAATATTGTTTTGACATCGCATGCGTGAGTCCATGGCCAGGCTACGCCAACCGTTTGAGGTGTGATGTTTCACTAGTTGCCATCTGCGCCAAAAAATAATACTGATATATGATGCCCAAAATCTACTTCTACAATCATACATAACTGCTTACTCGAGGTTTTTCCCCACTAAAAGCACAAGAAGAGTTTTTCTTCTTCCGGACAAACTACGTACATCAGCGAAATGGGAGGAGTCTTTTTTTCGGCTTTCAGAGTTTCTGGTGCGATTATTAGAGATTGTGGGAAGTGTTGTTCAAACTCAAAAGCCTTTTCTTCAAATTGAATACAAATGTAATTACCTTAGGTATTAACAACTATTTAAATTAGCTTTTAAAATTCTTTTTCTGTTCCGAGCAGTAAAATGAATATTCGCAGAGCAGAGGGAAATTGTTTATAATGATAATTTAACTTTAAAAGACATTAAAGACATTAAACATTGAAAATATTCGCTAATTTTGTCGTAACAAAGCCTGTTTAGTTTCAAGTGCAAACTAAGCCGAATTATAATTTATCAGCTGTTTCCCAAAACTATCACCTTTACGTCTCCTTAATGATAACCTCAAAGATTTTAACGTGCTGAGTTGTCTGTGTCGTATTTCAATTCATGCTGTTCATCTAGAATTTTTGGAGGCTTCTTGACAAACAAAGCAAGCTATGGATTTTCAAATTTGAACGCAGACAGTATTTGAACGTGCTTCCTTACCTCTCCGATGCCAATGTGTCGTCCTTTAGAGAAGGTCTCAAGATACGTATATGCTTAGCGACAAGTCAATGGAAAGTAGATAGATTATATTTACACCAGAAACCACAAGGATCTACTATGACTGCCTTTTTCTTTAGCGGATATTTGAAGAAATATCATCATCAAACTGTCTAACCCTACTGCCTATGGGTTGTTATAAATAGCTTTTTTTTATTAACCACTGTAAAACCATAAATGTACATCCGTATTTATAAAATGATTCGGTTCAGTTTTCGATCTTTTTGTCTTATTTAATTTTTTGTTTGGTGTAAGAAGATAGATAACCTACACAAATAATTCGGATCAATCAGAGGCTGAAAACTTGTCTAATGTGAATGAAAAGTGTCGCAAATTCTAAAAAAAGACAGTTATGTTC